GCACTACTGGAAGAGGCTATGTGACAAAATTATAGCTCCCAAGATCTCAGCAGAAACTTCCTGGGAGTTTTTTGGAGATACAGTTTTCTGATCAAACGTATACAGTCCTATCTATAGCTGTCTCTCCCCCACCTCTTGCCTTGTAGACAGGTAGGACACCTGCAGCTAAAGCATACATCTTATTTCCATTGAACAACTTGGGACAATGAACTGAAAGGAAGCACAAAGCAAGGTCTTTGTGACAGGCATGAGCCTCTGCACCAACATCCACTGCCTACTCTGGAGTTCTTTTATGAGATTAAGAAATATCCCTATCACTTAAGTCACAAGAAGGTATTTATATAAATGTAAATGAACATTTTCCCTATAACCACTGAACATGTTAAAAAGCTTTGTATAATTATAATATTCTTTATTGGCAAGGAGTTGGGTACCAGACCTCTGTTCAAACACTGTTGATAGGGACAACCAATATAGCCCCACAGGCAGTCAATGTCACACTATATTTCAAAAGAGTTCAAAATATTCTTATCCTTCATTTGACACAGGAATCATAATTTTAGATGTTTCATTAAAGAAATAATCATGAATTTAAAGTATTATGATAATGATATTCACAATTATATGAATATCTAAAAATATAATGCTAGCTAAAATAATTTTATGGTATAGATTTATGATAGAATCCTCTCCAATCATTAAAATATGATGTAATCAATAATTAAATTTATGTGTTTAAAATATTTAAAGATATAGAAAGATGTCTTCAAACAGTATGGAGCTGGACTTGGTGGTGAACAACTGTGATTCCAGCACTCTGGTAGGTTAAGGCAAGAGGATAATAAGTTTGAGCCCAGCCTGGGCAACTTAGTGACTTAATAAGATCTACAAAAATAAAATAAAGGGCTGGGGAATCTCAGGATGTAGGACAGTATGAAGGCCCTAGGTTCAAATCCCTATATCAAGAGAGGAAAAGAAACATATAAAAAGTAAAATATTTTGTGGGGACAAATGCTTAGAAAAAAAGAATTTTATCAAGATTAGAAAACTGTAATAAAAATCGATGTATTCCTGAATAGCAGAGTTACTAGTAATTTCCTTTTTGTTAAGTTAGCTATATTTTCTAAACTTCAAATTTCTTTTATAATGCGAAAATTGCTTTAAATATATCTATATTTGTTCACAAAAAAGAACTGAAATAAATAAGAAGGGATGTAGACTAAAAGTCATTTTATTTATTCTGCATGAACTCATTCGTGTCTTTCACTTTCAAAAATAACAGATCTGTAATAGCAACTTTTTCTGACACCAGCATACAAAAGCCTTCGTACACCAAGAGCGACATGATATTTATCTTAAATACGATTTCACCACGTTCAATCTGGGCACAAACACAGGAACTTTCAATGAGATATAGCACATATACTGAAATGTATATTTAATAAATCCAGCTGTTAACACAGATATAAACACTGATCTTGGGAAGTGTAATCTCATATAGTTTTTATGGAAGGCAGTTTAACCATTTCATAAAGTTTTTCAAACATGCATGTCCATGAACTCAATCATTTATCATCAAGGAATTTCTCTTAAGAGAGAGACAAGTAGAAGAAATAGCATGTATTTCAGACTTCCAAACAATGTGACTAATATTATCTTTAAAATATAAACTTACTGATGAGCAAAGACAGACATATGTTTGAGTAAGTAAAGATTACTACCAAATGACATGTTATCTATGATTAATTTAAGTAAAATTTTTGTATATAGCTATTGTTACCATGGCATACACTGACACAGTCAGCCACATTAACATCCACTCTTCTTGGTTCCTTCTTCTTGGCTCATCTACTGTAGTTCTCAGCCCTCTGCACTACTGGAAGAGGCTATGTGACAAAATTATAGCTCCCAAGATCTCAGCAGAAACTTCCTGGGAGTTTTTTGGAGATACAGTTTTCTGATCAAACGTATACAGTCCTATCTATAGCTGTCTCTCCCCCACCTCTTGCCTTGTAGACAGGTAGGACACCTGCAGCTAAAGCATACATCTTATTTCCATTGAACAACTTGGGACAATGAACTGAAAGGAAGCACAAAGCAAGGTCTTTGTGACAGGCATGAGCCTCTGCACCAACATCCACTGCCTACTCTGGAGTTCTTTTATGAGATTAAGAAATATCCCTATCACTTAAGTCACAAGAAGGTATTTATATAAATGTAAATGAACATTTTCCCTATAACCACTGAACATGTTAAAAAGCTTTGTATAATTATAATATTCTTTATTGGCAAGGAGTTGGGTACCAGACCTCTGTTCAAACACTGTTGATAGGGACAACCAATATAGCCCCACAGGCAGTCAATGTCACACTATATTTCAAAAGAGTTCAAAATATTCTTATCCTTCATTTGACACAGGAATCATAATTTTAGATGTTTCATTAAAGAAATAATCATGAATTTAAAGTATTATGATAATGATATTCACAATTATATGAATATCTAAAAATATAATGCTAGCTAAAATAATTTTATGGTATAGATTTATGATAGAATCCTCTCCAATCATTAAAATATGATGTAATCAATAATTAAATTTATGTGTTTAAAATATTTAAAGATATAGAAAGATGTCTTCAAACAGTATGGAGCTGGACTTGGTGGTGAACAACTGTGATTCCAGCACTCTGGTAGGTTAAGGCAAGAGGATAATAAGTTTGAGCCCAGCCTGGGCAACTTAGTGACTTAATAAGATCTACAAAAATAAAATAAAGGGCTGGGGAATCTCAGGATGTAGGACAGTATGAAGGCCCTAGGTTCAAATCCCTATATCAAGAGAGGAAAAGAAACATATAAAAAGTAAAATATTTTGTGGGGACAAATGCTTAGAAAAAAAGAATTTTATCAAGATTAGAAAACTGTAATAAAAATCGATGTATTCCTGAATAGCAGAGTTACTAGTAATTTCCTTTTTGTTAAGTTAGCTATATTTTCTAAACTTCAAATTTCTTTTATAATGCGAAAATTGCTTTAAATATATCTATATTTGTTCACAAAAAAGAACTGAAATAAATAAGAAGGGATGTAGACTAAAAGTCATTTTATTTATTCTGCATGAACTCATTCGTGTCTTTCACTTTCAAAAATAACAGATCTGTAATAGCAACTTTTTCTGACACCAGCATACAAAAGCCTTCGTACACCAAGAGCGACATGATATTTATCTTAAATACGATTTCACCACGTTCAATCTGGGCACAAACACAGGAACTTTCAATGAGATATAGCACATATACTGAAATGTAGAGGAAATGTTTGAACTTGTCACTGAGTCCTATTACTAAAGAGGTAAGAAGCAAGTATGTGCTGGAAAGCATGATACACCTTGACGTTAAACCAACTGAGCCCCAGTCAGGAAGCAAAGATCTGAGTTGGGCAAGCTTTCCTCACATACACTGTCCAGCACGTCCCTCACAGAGACCGCCTTCCTGGTCGAAGGTGTGCACTGCTAGTCAATCTCTAATTGGACCTCATTCATCCACAATGAAGATCAATGTCATAGAAGCTGCTTAAACCTTTTTCAAATGCACCAATAAACTTGCGTTCAACAAATAATTTCCAACTATGTTCACAGGTAGTACAGGCAATCCAAGGGACTACTGTAATAAAATTGTGCAGGGTATTGCAAAGGTAGTGATTCTTTCTGCTTTTTTGTTAAATCCAAATTTGTTACACACAAAAGTAAAAAGAGGAGAAAAGGGGGAAAGAAACTAAAAGGAAAAAAAATCTATATATGCATATATAAACTACCTAAGTTCAATGAAAACTTACAAATCTAGTAATTACTTAAAAGGGTAATTTAATTTTGGAGATGTTTTTAAAGATGTACATGTGAACAAAGGGTTTTTAAGTACTTAAAATTAATCAGAAATAAATTTAATTCACTTTAATTACTAATACAAAAGTTGACCTACTAAAAACTTCTAAACTTTGTGGGTAAGTTTTTGTACTCTAAATCTGATCCTTAATTGCAAGGCTAAGGATACATCTTAAAGCCAACAGTGGTGATTTTTAATGACAGGCTTAAAAGGGTTGATTTAATCTCCAGATTTTTTCTATAATTCCACCATGTCATCAAGAAAGTTGAACATATGAAACCCTGATTCCTCAAGATGCTTCATCCCAGGCATAGTGAACATTTTGGAGATCAAGTCCTCAAACCCAAACCCACTTATTTATTACAAAGTGCGCCAACATTGCAATTAAACCTGAATACTGAAGTTTAAGTTTAGAAAAAACAATTGCCACATTAACGTCTTTCTCAAAGTAAAGACACAATAACATGTGAGCCACAGGTTCAGCACCATTGCTATCTAGTCAAAGCCTCCATTGTTCTACAATGCTCAGAAAGAAAATGCTGTCACCTGGAAAAAGTCATAGCTGCACTATTTACCCAAGATATACACTACTATTCAAGCTCTAACAGTTCCTAAGAGATCACAGCTACAGAATGAGGGTTTATTTGCTCCTCCCAACTTCTGTGGACAGCAAAACCAAAAGAAGCACCTACTTAGCAGATTACTTCTCAGGAGCATAAATAGATACTTTTAAAAGGTAATATCAAAAAGCCAACATTGAAGTTGAATAATATTTATATTCTTAGCAAAGGAATGTATTTAAAAATCTATAATAAAGATAATAACTACATTCCAAACCAAAAAAATTCCAGTCTAAAAAAGATACATTTGATGCTTTTATTTCTGAATACTGATGCAAGATAATGATTGTAATCATTTTAATCAAACTTAAAAGGTACATCTTATGTTGCTGTTGACATAGCTGTTAGCCTGTGAATAGGCAAGCAAGAGGGAAAAGTCCCTGAGGCATTTTTACATTCTTAGTTAACAATTATGGGAGAATGACCCGCTCATTATGTGTATCTGACACCTGAAATGCCTTACATTTCTGACACTACAGGCATGTTACTTCAAAAGTCCTACCTGGGAAGAGACTGAGAAGGCTGACTGGAGATTTGTTGGTATCAATGGTTAGTTTGTGGCTTGCAGTTTTTGAAGGCTGACCTGGTAGGCAGATTAATTTCAAGGGGAGTCTAAATTTACACTGGATAACTCGAGGAATGCCTGAAATAAAAAACAGAAATGAAAATCTGTAGATTTGACATATAATCTAGAAAAAGAGTAATTGGCAGTTTGAGTGGCAACATATATTAACTTTTTTGTCTATTTTTTCTAGTATAACTGATATAAGTACACAATGCTAATGTAAGACATGTTTTCACTATTTTCAAAAAAGAGCAAGGCAAAAATAAAATCTTAAATCGAGCATAAGCATGAAATCTGTCTTTAAGACTACTAACATTTTTTAAACTCATTTAAATACCATAAAAATCATTATAGTTACTTATACACAGTTACTGAGCTAAGTCTTTGAACTAAGTTGTTCACAGCTCTAGGCCTACTTCATGACTATCAGCTAAAGTAAGTAAAGAATATGAACTTTATATCAGATTCTCTATAATCTAAAATTTTCTCTAATCAAAATATTTTAAATCTTTAGTTATCTCTTTATTCATTGAAGATTCAAGTTATATAAACAATTTTCAATAAATTAATTATAAGCATGAAAGCATAATTAATTCTTCTGAAATTCCACTGAAGTCCATGTCCATTTTATACATTACTATGAAGGATATTACATTCATGGGAATTAAATTTTTCTCAAACCATGTAACTTTGCACATGACTTTAAGGTACATTTTGAAAAGCTTACATAGTCATTCATTGTCAAATGTTTTCAGTGGTCACTGAAATAGGTAAATAAACAAAATAACAATTTTCCTATCAGAGCTTTACAAAAATTTTAATCATTTTTTCAATACTTTTATAGAGAACAAAACTGAAATGAAAGTAACTTATTGTCTTTACTTATCATGACAGAAGTTCAATCTTAGTTTTCATTCCTTTGCTTCTAGGACTCTACTTTTGACTGTATAAGACGAAAGAATTTAATTAAAAGGCTACATCTTAGTGTATTATGCTAAAGACTGCAGAGAATGTAAAACCCAAAATGACCTATTCTACTTGGTGATTTGAACAGTAATTCCTTTATTTTGTTATAGTGGAGTCAATGAGAAGCTTAAAACTAACAAAACTAGAAGCAGCCAAGACATGGAGGCAGGACCCAGGCAGTGCCCCTATGTTAGCCACCGAGTTTGCTAATGGAAGCGAGAGCCGTGGGTCCACTCCATATCCACCGTCCTGCACCACCCGTCCACGGCATGGTAAGTGATCACCAATAATGGTGAGCATAGGACACGTGAGCCAATTAAACACTCTCTCAGAGCATGTGGAGCAGGTCTTTCAGTCAACATAATCCATTACCCATCAAATTTTACCTAGTTCATATTTGACTCAGAACCAAAAGATGTTAAATCACTTCTCCTGAAATACTTTTGAGGCAAATTATCACTGGTGTCTCTCAAGAAATTCTCAGGGTATCATTTCCTGAAGTTCTGTGAGATTTTTAGAGGCACGTGTATATGTACTTTACAATGATGAAATGTTCTCACTCAAAATATTATAGCAACATGAGCTTAGATATTGTACAAACCACAACAAACAAAACCACCACAAAGAAAATGACAAAATACTTTTTCCGACTTTCCGCCCACCTGGACCCAGCCCACCGGTCTGGGCAGCAGTGCACTTTGTTGTGGGCACTGCCAGCGTGGCCCCAGTGCCAGCCACAAAGGTAAGATCCAGGGCAAGTGCCTCGGCTGAGAAATTGCATCTCCCTCCACCCACCTGGACCCAGCCCACGGGTCGGGTAGCTGCGCCCTTTGTTGTGGGTGCCACCATCGCTACCCCAGTGCCAGGAGGGTAGCCGTGCGGGCGCTGCTGAGCAATGCAACACCGCACCCCCCACCCCCAACCCCCCAACCCCCCGTGCTCTCAGATCCCCTGACTGTGCGAGTCCTGGGACCTACTCTGCAGAGACATGGCTGGTTATAAAGGGTGATTTTCTGAGCTCCCAAATTTGAACATCTTTAAAGACGGGGCTGGGGAAACCTGTGATAGAACTGTCTGGAGTTCAACCCTGCAGGAGGTCAGGGAGCTCAAATTGGTCCTTGTGGCCTGAGGTCAATCTGCGACACAGGGTTCTGCCTTCAACTAGATGAGATAGGAGGATTTTGGTTCTGCACATGGCTGCATACCATGTGTATTATGACAGCAGAGATATAGTCTGAAAGAGGCCCTTCAAAGTCATTGTTTTTGTTCTTTTCATTCTTTTCATCATTCCACTCAGTAAATTCTTTTTTCTGTCCTCTTTCACCAACTCAATCTCTTGCTCCACCATATTGGCCATCATCACCTTTTCTATTCCTGCTCCTGCCCTAATTCAGATTTCTTCTTTTATCATTTTTTCTTTTTTTATTATTAATGTTCTTTTTTTATCAGTGAGTCTCACTCAAGGGTTGGTAGCTTCAAAGGAAAGTGAGCCCCTATAGCTGTTAAGGAGATATATTCTTTTTCCTATACTTGCACTCTGTCTATCCTTTTTGAATTTTACAGTTTCCTAAAGATCTTGTGGTAATTCTGTGTCCTCTGGCTTCACTTGAAACCTTCCCCAGTCCTTTTACTTACTTGTTTACTCTTCCCATCCTTATTAGGCCTAGGCCCCCATCCCAAATAGTAGATATACCATGTTGAGGAGTTTGTCCACTGCAAACATATTTTCGGCTGCTTCTTAATTTTAATTTAATTCGCATGGTTGGGGGGTGATGGATTGATGACTACCACAAGTGGTCAATTTACAGGAGGCGATGGATCCTGTTGTGTTGCTGATTGTATCGATTGGGATAAGGGATGGGAATATATTGGACGAGTTGTTTTCTCTGATATTGTGAAAGTGAGAATGTCTATGAGTCATTAGAGAGTTGGGGGTTAAAGTGCAACGATAGGAAGATTTAATAAGCCAAGATTGAATCAAAGACAATCCAACAGCAAAAGCAAAAACGAGAAAACACTTAAGCAAGACACAAAGACAGATTTCCAGTTCACCAATGGCAAAGAGTAGGGCAAAGAAGAATGTAAAGTCTGATAGTAAACCACCAGGACACTCTAAACTCACAGCACAGGAAGTAATAAAACAGATCAATCAGGCTCTAGAAAAATTCAAAAAAGAAATGATTTCCCAGATAACCACAGAGATAGTGAGCAAAATGAAAGACATGATTTGAGACTCTAGAACACAAACTGACCAAAAAAAAAAAAAAAAAAAAAAAAAAAAAAAAAAAAAAAGATGAGCTCAGGACCAAAATAGAAGCCATGAAGACCCAGCATAAGGAAGAAATGGAAACAAAGAATGCCCAACATAGGAAAGAAATGGAATTCATAAAACTGATTCAGATATCAGGAGATTAAAATCTCTATTGAAAGTATACACAACAGAATAAAAGATTGTGCAGATAGAATCTCAGATATAGAAGACAGGATCGCAGTCAGTGACCGCAAAAAGAGAGGACTCTTAAAAACAGTAAGGGATCATGAGAACTCGATCCAACAACTCCTAGATGATACAAAGAAGAATAACATAAGGCTGATAGGAATCCATGAGGTAGCAGGAGAAAATGCAAATGATTTAAAAAAGCTGTTTACAGAATTAATGACAGAAAACTTTCCAAACAGAGGGGAAGAATTTGACATACAGATAAGTGAGGCATATAGGACTCCAACTAGCCACGATCAAATAAAAATCTACACCTAGACATATAATAATCAAGATCCCAGAAATCCAACAGAAGAACAAAACATTACAAACAGTAAGAGAAAAGAAACAAATCACATGCAAAGGAAAGCATATCAGAATCACAGCAGACTTTTCAACACAAACCCTCAGGTCAAGGAGAGCCTGGAGTGAGGTATTTCAAGTACTAAAAGAAAACAACCTCCAACTCAGACTGATGTATCCTGCAAAACTCTCTTTCAAATGGATGGGGAAATAGACTTCATGACAAAGAACACTTGAGAAACTTCATGAATACCAAACCAGCACTACAAGGAATTCTAAACAATATCCTAGAAAAACACAATGAAGATCACAACACCATGAGGCCCAACAGAGCAAATCAAATAGTCAAGGCAAGAAACTGAAAGGAGAGGGCAAAAAATTAAAAAGAGTCAACAAAAAGACAATACCATGACAATAAGAAGTCAGTGCATATCAGTTATAACCATCAATATCAATGTCCTCAACTCACCTATCAAGAGAAATAGACTGGAAGACTGGATTAAGAAGCAAAATCCAACAATATGTTGTATACAAGAAACACACCTAGTGCAAAAAGAAGCCCATAGACTGAAAGTGAAAGGGTGGAAAACAATTCTCCATGTGACAGGAGCCCAGAAAAAAGCAGGGGTAGCAATCTTATTCACAAAGTAAATTTCAAACCAAAACTGATCAAGAGAGACAAAAAAGGCCACTACATTCTTGTAAAGGGAACAATTCAAGAGGAAGAGATAACAATCATAAACATATATGCACCAAATATAAAAGCCCCCAACTACATAAAACAAATATTAAGTAACGTAAAAACCAAATAAGTGCTAATACAATTATAGTGGGGGATCTAAATACCCCACTATCACAAACAGACAGATGATCTAGGCAAAAAATCAACAAGGAAATACTAGACCTGAACCAAACTTTTGAATGCATGGACTTATCAGATGTTTATAGAGTGTTCCACCCCACAAAATCAGAATATACATTCATTTCAACTGCACATGGGTCATTCTCCAAGATAGATCACATAATAGCTCACAGAACAGGTTTGAATAAATGCAAAAGAATCAACATCATTCCCTGTGTATTATCAGATCACAGTACAATAAAGCTAGAGATCAGTAGCATAAGAAACCGTAGGAACTTCACAAACACATGGAAATTGAACAACACTCTCCTGAACAATCAATGGATCACAGAGGAAATTAAAGAAGAAATCAGATAGTTTTTACAAATAAACAAAAATGCCAATATAACATACAGGAATCTATGGGACACAATGAAAGCAGTTTCACGTGGAAATTTCATAGCAATGAATGCCCACACTAGGAAAATA